ATGTGTTTTTAACAGGGCCTCTCTTCAGCTGTGAGAAACACGAGGATCAAAGCAGGAGAGGCACTGGAACATAAATGAGTATCGAGTCTGTAGAAAGCCAATGACGGCTAAGACTAAGCTTATCTTGACAATCTGACATTTTCACACATCAGACTTTGCAATGTTGAGAAATAAATCCCCCTCTCAGATGGAACAACCAGTTCATTAACCTGTAAAATAAATTGCTACTGTATATCATTAGCATTAAGTGAAATCCTTAGGGAGATCTTGGCTGTGTGTTCATGGGGGGATAAACATTCATGCTTATCCCGTCGAATAAACAGACACAGATTATCATGCTGCCAAAGACAACATGGTAACTGCTCCGGATACAGCCTCAAACACATCCACTAGTCCTCCATCAGGAGCCCTACAAAGTTTACTCAGACACATGAAGCTGATTGGCATCTGACCAGCACTGGAAATACGTTCTTTCATTAAAAAAAGTTAAATAATTTTTTTTAAAGTTGAATTATTTATGGGGCACATTTGAGGTTCATTATGTCAGTCAGATAAATAATTTATATCTTCAACATTTTAACATCATGTATATTTAACTTTTTACTAAATGATTAACTTGGCAGAAGTTTGCTCAAATTAAATATATTTGTCCTCTTTGTCGATAAGGAAGTGTCATGGCCTATCGTTTTTTTAAACTGAACTGCTTATAGGATTGGATTTTTTTTTTTAAATAGCCATGTTTTGCAAATGAATTGTTGTAATTTTGGAAGATAAAATTAAACAGGAGAAAGCTTTTTTTTATCGCATGTGCTACGTGAAGAAGTTTGAGTTTACATACGTGGTAAAATATTTCCTCAACGGCAGTCAGAAATAGTCTGAATTCTGCTCTTTAGTACTTCCATCCATCACCTGTCTGTGGATATCTGCAACTAAATGAATGTGCAGAGCAAATGTACATGTCCTCCCTGAAATACATAAACACGGTAAAGGTCAAACAGTATGCATTTATTTTTCTATATTCTTTGGTATATTTGTTTATTTTACATGAAGCGAAACTAACTGGCTGAGCAGAAAAGTTAAGGTCAACATTACGTTTTACTGGACGTAATAAAACCAGCTGGTGTGCATTTTTTTTTTTTCCAACAATGTGTTATCATATAAAACATGGCATTTAAAATATTTGATTTTTTATTGATTTAATTTGTTATGTTTTCTTTTCATTATACCCTCAGTTTTCTGCTGTTCCAACATTGTGGATCGCTTCTGTCCTCTAGTGGAGAGATAAAGAAAAGGTGAAAACACAACCTTGTCTCCAAATATAAAGCTTATCAAGGCCTAACATGGTTAAAATAGTGGCTTGGATGACACCTGTGATTACACTTTTACATTGTGGTGTTTTTGCCAATAATTTATAAATCTTCCTTTTATTTTATTATTTGATATGCTTGATATACATTTGTTGTGGAGACATTGCTTTAGCTTTTGCATCTTGCAGTCCATAGCTATGGGACACACATGTCCTCCTTGACCCTTTGGTAATCCATATATGGGGATATTTGTAGCCTCTGCACCCTCTATAGCAGGGGTGTCGAACTCAATTTCATCGCGGGCCACATTAGCATTATGGTTGCACTCAAAGGGCCAGTTGTAACTTTAAGACTATATAGTCTTGAACTTTTTAAATCTCAGCTAAAAACTCACCTATTTGCACTGGCTTTTAATAGGCCTACTAGTTGAACATAAAATTTTGACATTTGTATGTGTTTTTATATGTTTCTAGTTATTGTGCTTTTTATCTTGTTTTTAATTATTGTTTTATTATTTTACTCCTATTGTGTTATTCTATATTGTATTTGTTCGCTGTACAGAACTTTGGTCAACTGAGGTTGTTTTAAATGTGCTATATAAATAAATAAAGATTGTGATTGAGATATAAATATACATATATAATTTAATGTATTATATGACATTATTGCCTCTGCATTGGATTATTATCGGATAGGGTAATAACTTCATAATTAACTACGTCTGAAAGCAGAAGTCTAGGGCAAATAATTGCAAGTCTCTTCAGTGCGCATGTCACAAAATGAGATGCATTGTGGGACATGCAACATGCTTCTTTAAAGCGGCATGTAACTGTATAATAAACGTATTATATTCTTTGCAAGCTCTTGCGGGCCACATAAAATGAAGTTGCGGGCCGGATTTGGACCACGGGCCTTGAGTTTGACACCCCTGCTCTATAGGCCTACAGTAAATGCATCCACATCAAGCATGGTGTGCCCCTGTGGGAAAGAGTGGGAGGGCCAGTGGGATTTGAATCTGCCTCTGTTCCCACAGTTGCCTCTCAGCTGTGCTCTGAACAAGACTGACCCACACAAGCATAATACATATCAATTCATTAGATTTTCTGTTGGCTTCTAGGGGGAAAATATGTAATACTTAAAAAGATGCTTTTGTTCCTCAAATTATCCAATCCAATTCATTGACATTCCCCCTAATAAAATGAAAGCTTTTAGTTGAATGTGCAGACTGGGACAGCATCAACTAAAATAGATAGAAATATTAATAAAGGATGAACGTTTCAAGTTTGCCTTTCAAAGTTGGTGATTTTCTTGTCATTACTATTGAAAAGTTCCTATTATTCTAAAGAAAACTGTTTTTACGCATCTCTATGCCTACATCTTTACCCTCAGAAAATGACATTATCATATCATATATAATGTTTTTTTTCATACATATATTAAACAAAAAATATAAAGCAGAGAAAAGCACCTCCTCCTCGTATTTAACACTTAAAAAGGGCAAAGGTTTGTTTTGTTTTTTTATTAAAGTTATCGCTGGACTGCATTTCCAAATAATAATACAACAAAAATGTTTTTGTTGTTTAATTTGGGGGGATTGTTGACAACAAAAGTCAAGTTTTTGCAGTAAACATTTATTATGTGACAATGAATGTTTTTATACTACAAAAAGATGTGGTGAGTCCCAAACCTATGGCAATTGGTATGTGTTTTATTATGTCATCTGTAGTATGCATTTTAAATGGAGTTTGGTTTGAATCATGATTTATTTTTAAATAAAAAACACCCAGCAGATTGACTGTTTCTACCAGAAGAGATTAACACAAGTTCATTTTTGTTGCATTCTGCTTCTCTGTAACTGCATAGCATTTGAATATTCAGCGCCATCTGTTTTAACCTCCACTATCGGCCTGTCTGTCTTTGCCCCACTGATTTACTTCATAAACTCGGTTTAAGGAACATATGCTTAATCTAAACAGGAATTAAGTTTGGCAAGTGTTTTGGCAATAACAGGAAACTTAAGGGAGAACAAAATGTAACTTTCTTTGTATAGAAATAGTTTATTACCTCATTCCAAACACTTGCTGGGACTTTGCTGTTACCTCTGGATATGTCTTCATGTTTCTCTCAGTGTTTTTTGTCTCTGTGGAGCAACACCTGTCCGGTACCTCAGGAGGTCACTGTTGAGCGATTCCTGCAGCAGCTGTGTTCTTTGGTTAATATATAATCTAGAATCTTTGTGTTTTTATTTATGGATGTGTCCTAGGCTCTCTTAAAAATGATCAAATTGAAGCATCTTTGCTGTATACTACCTAAAACAGATATGCATACACATACATATGCAACTGAAACCATCATAAGACACTAAAACTAAAGAATTCCAGGCGGATTTTTCCACCCTGGCAGGAAAATAAATTATATTCTTGACACATGAAGATAGCAAATGTCAGCACATGAAATATCCAGTATCTAAACTGCAGGCCATCCAAACCCCAACTGGAACATTGCTCTATCCTTTCTCTCCTTCCTGCTTAGTCAGCAATGGAGGATGACGTAATTTAAAATGCACACAGCTCTCGCAATCATTAAAGTGCCAACAGAAAAGTTCCAAAACCATAAGCTACAAATGAATTACTCTCGAGCTGGTTAAAAAAGTAGAGGAAAATATATGTATATTTCCTGGCCTATATGTCTATTATTTTAACGATTTTTTTGGGCAGCCAGTGCCACCATGAAAAGACAGTGTTGAAAAGGGAAAACGGCTGGATTTGAACCCGGGTTCTCTGCATGGGGACTAAGCCCAAGTGCATGGGTTGCCATTTTGGGGAAATGTAGATTATAATAAAGCTTTATATCGGCTTTAAACAAATCTCCTACCTTCAGATTGAATATAATAACAGTTTCTTATCCCTGTTTGTTTACAAATGTTGTGCCAAATAAGTTGGTGCAATATTTATAATGACGCAAACACTTACCTAACTTCTGTTAGTACATCTAGTTTGAATAACATGAAGCCATGTTGAGAAATTATGGGAAATCCTGCATTGCCTAACAGCTACATTTTGATTTCCCAACTGAGCTTTGGATCTGAATTTGTTTGCAAGCCTTTGGCAACTTTCTCTACCTTTTTACAAGGCCATCAACAAACAAGAGTTTGTTTGAACTCTGTGTGAGTGTTGCGACAACTTTGAAATGTATGCACATAAAATAAACTCAGTTTAGTATGATATTCATTTTAAATGTAATACTTTGGATCAAGTTTTGAAGTGAAATTCCTCTTTACTTATTGTTTTATTTTATTTTCACTCGAGATAAGAAGAATCTGTGTCGACATGATAAAGCGCAGCGCATTTGTTTGCGCTATTGATTGCTGCAAATGATTACCAAGAAGGAAAAAACCAATAAACCCTTACTGGAATATTCTGTTTGTGTTACTGAATGATAGCAGAAGATGACTGGACAGGAAAATAAAACCTTTGGAACACTAATTGCACTGTATTAAAAAACAAAAACAAAAAAACTGAAATCACTTTTTCTGTGATTTATTGAGCTTCAACTACCACATAAATCTTAGTCATACTTGAACCAATACAAAGAACAAATGTTTCAGGCTTTCTTAGTGATGCAGTGTGTCATTTAAGGTGTTGTGTGTGTTGTGACTTCCCCTTCTGTTCTGTTCCCTGTGAGCTTCAGATTGGTTTGGAGGCTGGAACAGACTTGCGTAAATCATTGAGCAACCTCTTTCCCTGCGAAACCCTGAGCTCTCTCCCTCTCTCTGTGTATAATAGTGTTTCAGTCTCCTGTTTCTACTTCTGTTTGGCGGTTCAGGGTAATGAAGATAAAATGCATCTAATAACCCAAAGCTGTGTCCTTTTTTTGTGGATGCACTCGCTGACCTTCGTGAAAGGTCAAGGTAAGCCCAAGTATTTCAATTTTGTATCTAACCATTACATTTACCGCTTGATGTTTTGTATCGGAGTTGGACACAAAATACTGATATGTATTTCTTGTCCCACAGAGTGTACACTCAGACAGTTTTTAAATAGCCCCCTGTATGATCCAAATTTTGACACAAGTGGTCTGGCAGCCACATACAATGGTGGAAAACAAGTCAGAGTGGGCTGCAATGTTGGCTTCAGTGGCTTTTTCAAACTGATCTGTACCGAGGGAAACTGGGAGTCCAAAGGCACAAGATGTAATCGTGAGTTAGGATCTATTACTTTGTATTTTCTACCATTAGGAAGTCATTCTATGCTAAGTACTTGTAAACATTATATGCAACATGTAATCTTGTAATAGTATATGATTTGACCTATAAATGTCATGGTTTGAATCGGTGTACATTGCACAAGCAGGCTAAAAGTACTATTGTATCACCAAAAATAACATTTGTTTTCTCATTCTTACTTTTTAAGCAAAACCATGTGGTCATCCCGGTGATTCCCAGAATGCAGATTTTCAACTGGAAAAGGGAGAGGATTTTGTCTTTGGGTCACAGGTGAAATACACCTGCCACAAAGGGTATGAAAAGATGTATAATTACAAATGTGTACTTCTTATGAATCTTTGACTTCCTACATATTATACGTTGTACATGTAGTTAACCCTGTATAACAAGCAGTGCAGTTTAAATCTGGCTTTAACCCTTACATTTTAAATGAATGTATTACTATTTTCTACATTTCACCCCATTACACCATTATTACACCCATATTTAACTCATGTCACAACCATGTTACACTGTTATTACACCCACATTAATCCTCTATTACACACATGTTACACCCGTATTACACCCTCATTACAATGTTATAACACCCATTTTAAACATGGACACAGCCTATCAAATGACTGTATACCCAGGGAAACAGGAACTATTTAATGGTGAATGTTTGTTTGTTTGTAGCCTTTATTTAACCAGGTTAAAAATCCCATTGAGATCAACGATCTCTTTTTCAAGGGAGACCTGCGAATAAGGTATGTCCATCATCCTGTTACTATATTATACTGTTTTCAGTTATCAAATGGTCAGTCGCACAAACTACCGGCGTTGCATGGCTGAAGGCTGGGATGGTAATATTCCTGTATGTGAAGGTAAGAGCTAAACAATTATGTTATTCTTCCAATAATTGACACTCAAAAACGCTATACATTTTAAATTGTTTTGGGTTATGTTTGTTTCAGCACAACAGTGTCCAATAATCAACGTGGACAATAATGTCCAAGTGAATGGGGACATTGAGGAAGCAACCTTTGGCAATGTAGTCCGATTCAGCTGCAAGTCCAGCTCTGAAGTGCTGTCTGGGTCAACAGAGATGTATTGTGATGAAAATGGAGATTGGGTGGGCGAATCTCCAAAATGCAAAGGTATTGCAGTGTGTGAAAACAGGAAGCACAAAGTGTCTCATGTTGAGAAATAAACTAAAAATAGAGGGAAAGAGGTAGACAGACACATACACTATTAATCACCCTGTCAAGAACACCAACATAACAAAAAGCACATAATGACCACCATGTAAAATGTAAAAAAAGCAAAATATGTAATACCACCACGCCCCTCCTGTTCAAGGCGCATTCCACACTATGGCTTTTTCATTTGCCTTTTCCTTAAAGGTCCCCTATTATACTGTTTTTCATCAATATATTATAGTTCTCAGTCATATACAAAACATGTCTCTGAAGTGTTTGGCTCCAAACACCAAACAGATCATGCATTGTAGCATCCCATAAACCCCTCTGTTTCAGCCCTGTTTCAAAAGTGCTGATTCTCTGTCTGTTACTTTAGATGAAAATAAGGAGCCACTCCCCACGCCCCTTTGAGAGATATTTGGTTAAAAAGAACACAATGGTGCTCTAGAGGAGATTCAGGTGATAAGGTGTGGGGGGGGGGGGGGTTATAGCCTATAGCCTATCGGTTATAGGCTAATGGTTACACAAGCCAAAAACGTGTGTAATTGGCTTGTAAAGTGGCCGAAATCTGATCAGCTCATTTTCAGACAGGTTTTTATATAATGGATCAGGACAAAAAGTGAGCAAATCTTTTTTCCTGAAACTCTCAGAATCTCTTTACACAGAGGGGACACATGTTTATGTATAAGATGCATGAAAAAGTGGATTTTGCATAATAGGTGACCTTTCAGAAATCTTTATTCTTGCTTGTGTATTATTCAACAGAGATAATATGTACAGCACCCGAGATTGAAAATGGTGATGTGCTTGGACAAATCCAAGAGTACAAAGAAAATCAAGTCCTGGAGTTTCAGTGTAAACCCTCATTTAGACGCGCTGAAGCCAGATCTTCAAAATGCACAAAGCAAGGAGTAAGAGCAGAATGGAGCCCCACACCTCTGTGTGAACGTAAGTATTAACTGAGTAATGCAGTGTACTGGTGACACTTACCAATAAATATAGGTTCTGACGGATAATATGTTTATTTTTCAACAAATACAGCAATAACATGTAAACTACAACTGCCAGTGCTGAAAGGAACCAGCTATGAACCTGCTTATAGAAACACGTTTCCACCTGGTGACCAAGTGACAGTAACTTGTGAAGACAAGTACTGGATTTTTGGGTATCAACCGACCTCAGTCGTAACTACATGCAAAGAGGACGGAGAGTGGACTATCAGACCTCTATGCCAAGGTATGAAACTGCTGTGAATGCTGTTTTATTTTTTTATATTTCATAAGCTGTGATGATGGTTATCAATCATGTCTGGATTACTTGAGATTTACAAAACATTTTCTTATTCTAGAGGTTACGTGCAGCAAACAAGGAGTCCCACATGTGTCTTTATGGGATCGTTGGCAGCAAACATTCAAATCTGGAGAGACGGAACGTTACGGGTGTGAGACAGGCTACAGGAGGAAAGGTGGCGCCAGCAGGGCCACATGCACCCGATATGGATGGCAACCAAATCCACTTTGTGAAGGTATTGTGAAGTAAACCTTATGTTTATAAGATATCTGTTATTTTGTTTCCATATTTGGCTATAGGGGGGGAGTTTTTACTATACTATATTGTTTACTGTAAAGGCTACTTTTTAAAAAAAGAGTCCCATGAACTAAGTGCAGCTAAGCACAGGAACAGTCAGGAATTTACTTCTTTTGTTTTCAATTGCTTACACATGCTTTTTTTTTATCACACAAGTCTTTAGGGTGGTATAAACATCATGACTAACAAAAACTAAAAGAATATATTTTTATTTTTGTTTTATTGAGTGTCCTTTGTAGAGGACATCGGGTGTTAGTTATGCGAAGCATATAGGAACAACATTAACATACAAGTACATTTAGACAACATTAGAGCACAACAACTCAATGCAACAAATATTGAGCCCTCATTTGTAGAACTCCATCCTTTTTTGAAATGCAGAGATACATCTGACACTTGAGGCACTTGATGTATGTTTTCCCACTGCATCCGTCTGCCATGAACCCTACAGAAACCTAAGTGTTAGTTTTGGCCCATAGTGGACTCCATTTGTGTTGTGTAAAATGGGGGAAATAAAAAGTTAGCAAATCCCCATGTCCTCCTCAGAGGACATTCCTAAAAACATTTAGTTTTAGGTCAAATAAGTATGACACTGCTCTGAAACTCACTACACTAACTCCTAAGATGTTCCCTTACTATAATTAATAAAAAATATTGAACTCACAACACTGGTAATTACAAAATGACAAACTTACCATTTCTCTTTCTATAAATAGTGCTTGTGTTGATGGACGCCATTTTGAAATACAATGAAATTATCTTTTTCAAAGCCACACCCCCACATTATGTCATATGTTTGAAAAGCCCAGGATGTCCTCTGTGGAGTACAATTGGACTTAATGCTGTGGCATGTATAAGCTCAAAGTAATGGACCAAAACCCAATGTGCTCCACAGAGGAGGGAGGGTGGGTCTCTGGAGGATAAACACTTGAAGTGTGCACCAAATGGCACACACTTCATTTAAAATACGAGACACTTTTTCCAACCAACTTCAAACTCTGGTGCTCAATCAAAAGCACACTAATTTCTTATGGACTTTGTTCTGTATGTAGATAGTTCTGCAGGACAGAGATATGTGCAGAAACACAAATATTTTGTTGAAAGTAAACATTTGTATTTGAAAATAGAGGGAAAGAGGTAGACAGACACACATACACTATTAATCACCCTGTCAAGAACACCAACATAACAAAAAGCACATAATGACCACCATGTAAAATGTAAAAAAAGCAAAATATTTAATACCACCACGCCCCTCCAGTTGTTCAAGGCGCATTCCACACTATGGCTTTTTCATTTGCCTTTTCCTTAAAGGTCCCCTATTATACTGTTTTTCATCAATATATTATAGTTCTCAGTCATATACAAAACATGTCTCTGAAGTGTTTGGCTCCAAACACCAAACAGATCATGCATTGTAGCATCCCATAAACCCCTCTGTTTCAGCCCTGTTTCAAAAGTGCTGATTCTCTGTCTGTTACTTTAGATGAAAATAAGGAGCCACTCCCCACGCCCCTCTGAGAGATATTTGGTTAAAAAGAACACAATGGTGCTCTAGAGGAGATTCAGGTGATAAGGTGGGGGGGGGGGGGGGGGGTTATAGCCTATAGCCTATCGGTTATAGGCTAATGGTTACACAAGCCAAAAACGTGTGTAATTGGCTTGTAAAGTGGCCAAATTTTCAGACAGGTTTTTATATAATGGATCAGGACAAAAAGTGAGCAAATCTTTTTTCCTGAAACTCTCAGAATCTCTTTACACAGAGGGGACACATGTTTATGTATAAGATACATGAAAAAGTGGATTTTGCACAATAGGTGACCTTTCAGAAATCTTTATTCTTGCTTGTGTATTATTCAACAGAGATAATATGTACAGCACCCGAGATTGAAAATGGTGATGTGCTTGGACAAATCCAAGAGTACAAAGAAAATCAAGTCCTGGAGTTTCAGTGTAAACCCTCATTTAGACGCGCTGAAGCCAGATCTTCAAAATGCACAGAGCGAGGAGTAAGAGCAGAATGGAGCCCCACACCTCTGTGTGAACGTAAGTAAGAACTGAGTAATGCAGTGTACTGGTGACACTTACCAATAAATATAGGTTCTGACGGATAATGTGTTTATTTTTCAACAAATACAGCAATAACATGTAAACTACAACTGCCAGGGCTGAAAGGAACCAGCTATGAACCTGCTTCTAGAAACACGTTTCTACCTGGTGACCAAGTGACAGTAAATTGTGGAGACAAGTACTGGATTTCTAGGCATCAACAGGCCTCAGTAGTAACTACATGCACAGAGGACGGAGATTGGACTATAAGACCTCTATGCCAAGGTATGAAACTGCTGTGAATGCTGTTTTATTTTTTTATATTTCATAAACTGTGATGATGGTTATCAATCATGTCTGGATTACTTGAGATTTACAAAACATTTTCTTATTCTAGAGGTTACGTGCAGCACACAAGGAGTCCCACATGTGTCTTTATGGGACAGTCGTCGGCAGAAAATATTCAAATCGGGTGAGACGACACTTTACGGGTGTGAGACAGGCTACAGGAGGAAAGATGGCGCCAGCAGTGCCACATGCACCCGAGATGGATGGCAACCAAATCCACTTTGTGAAGGTATTGTGAAGTAAACCTTATGTTTATAAGATATCTGTTATTTTGTTTCCATATTTGGCTATAGGGGGGGAGTTTTTACTATATACTATATTGTTTACTGTAAAGGCTACTTTAAAAAAAAAGAGTCCCATGAACTAAGTGCAGCTAAGCACAGGAACAGTCAGGAATTTACTTCTTTTGTTTTCAATTGCTTACACATGCTTTTGAAATCATTCACATGATTCACAAAACCGCACACCCAAAGTGCAAACACCTCATATATCCTGCAGAGTTAATAACTATACTCAAAACTACATAAACACTTATCAAAACCTAACCTTTGCACCAAATTGCACAAACTACATTTATAATATGAGACACTTTTTCCAACCAACTTCAGACTGTGGTGTTCAATCGAAAGCACACACATTTCTTATGGACTTTGTTCTGTATGTAAATAGTTCTGCAGGACAGAGATATGTGCAGAAACACAAATATTTTGTTGAAAGTAAACATTTGTATTTGTATCCTCAACTAATCTGTGAAACATGAATGCACAGCAAATACAGTCACAGTTGTGTGAACAAAAAACATGCTCTCAATCTGATACAGTAAATGGAAAAGACAACTTAGAGAGAGGAAAGAAAAACACTTAAGCTGCATTGTACCACCTAGCTGGGTCTGGCCACAGCACGTCATCAACATGCAGAAGAAGCATGCATCTATACAGTAGGCCTGACGGTCATAGAGCTTCAACTGTTAGGCTGCAAATAACTCTTCAATTGACTTTAATTCATCCTCCCTCTCACTCTTATCCTCCCTCTCCCTCTTGCTGCTATGTCCATATATCCATCGTTGTTGTAAAAGGCTCTTACATGTAGCCTTTATCTAGTGCTTACATCCTGATTGATGAGTCAACAATAAAGCAGTTTGGTGTCTATGGTCATTTGGCATGTGTATTTGTTAACTGCTTCATGTGTGTAGCATTTTTAATGGCAGTGTTTAGAAAATGGCAAACAAGTCAATATGTCAGATTTCTGTGTCTTACTTAGAGAACCGTGTGCAGTGTATTGAATTGAATTGTAAATTGGGTTCAGAGCTAAAAATGTGTTTAGAGTTTTGGAGATTTGAGCTGAGGTTTTGCATATATGTTTAGTATGTCCAATCTTTTCATATATATTGGGTTTTTTTTCAGTGAAAACATTTTAGAGGTAAAAACGTATTTTTGTAATGCTTAAAACACACATTAAGAACTTGATTTATTTGTAACAGGCTTGCTGTTCAGTAGATCATCAAGAAATTGATCACTTAAAGAGTAAAAGGGGAGGCACCTTACTTTCTGACCTTGTCTTTAAACTCTATTATATAGTTTCTATTTTTACTTCTATTCATATTGTGGTTTCATTCATGTCTATTTATTTGAGCTGTCCCTATCTTTCTTTGTGTTGCCTCAACAACTGACTTTGGGGATCAACAAAGGCATTTTCTTTTCTTTTTTCTTGAAGACATCATTTTTGAAATGGTTTGTTTGATTATGTTTTAATGTAACCTGAATAGCTGGAGGATGTGTGAATAACTTCAAATATTCATTGAATTTGTTTCAGAAAAACACTGCAAGAAACCTCACATCGACGGTGCAAACTTTATCGGCGATGTAACGGGAAAGTTACAGGCTAAATGATCACATCCGATATGCATGCAAGAACAACGTTGAAATAATTGTTACTCTTACCTGTGAAGAAAATGGTTGGAATGGGATTCAGAGCTGTTCAGGTAAAGTCAAACAACAAATCATACAACAAATACAGCTTAAAGGAAAATTATAGAGGGATTGGCTTCGGGTGTTTAATTAGCATGGTCTTAGCGTGTTCTCTTAACAGCTAAAAAATAACATCTTCAGTGACTTTAAATTGCATAACTACTTCGATGACCCTGTTTCATCAGTTTCAAAATGTGTACTGTTGAACAATTTCTACTTCATGCTTTTTCTCTCCCCTCAACACACGCCTGTTTACTTGAAAATGATAAATGAAGCTCCTCTCTTGATTTACTGCACTCTAAACTTTCATTTAGATAACAATGCTATCTTGTTATCATCCTGATCATTGCAATGCTAGCATGCTGTAAAGGTATCAGGTCAACTGTCTTGGTTTAGCTTAGTTTAGATTAGCTAAGTGTAGCTTGTTAGCATGCTAACATTAGCTATTTATCAAGTCACGCCATCTCAATATGACTTATTTATTTGTTTTTCATCGACAGCATGTTCAAACGTTGAAGTCCCACATGGATTTGTAGTCAGGAACAACGACACCCTGTACTACACGTGTGAAGCAGGATATAAGCTTCCAACCAAAGGCTGGTGGGCTGAGGCCAAGTGCAATGACAGTGTGCCGTCCGAACTTAAACCATGCATCGGTAATTCATCTTTAATGCCTAACAGGTCTTGTTGTTGTAACAATCATGAAGCATACCACAAACTATTTGAAAAGGTGTAGAAGAGGTTTTTTGGAAACGGTTAAGAATAAGATTTCCTAAGGATATACACAAACATAATGAAAAATCAATACTTTCTGAAAGAGATTTTTAACGGTTTTGAGGAACACGATTTTGCATGATTTTGCAAGCATAAAAGCAATCGCAAATATAAAGCTAACGTTAAACTTAATAAGGCTATTAACTAATAACACAGTCACGCGACTTCAACTCCTCACCACCAAATGAAAGGCAGACTAATAATGACTTATGATGTAGTCTGATTTTTGACACTTGTGAGCAACCACCTATTTGTAAAATGTTAATTAGTCTTAGTCTTAGTTTGAATTTGTTACAACTTCATTTGTTTTTTTAAAGTGACATCCTTGATTGTTTACATTTTTATAATTTCAATGTTTTTTATTGCTAATACCTGTTACAACAATAAAAACCAAATTGTTTGAAACATATCCACTCTAGAGAATACAAAGTGTGGAGATCTTCCTGTTATTCCTAATGGGGAAGTGACAGTTGCACGCAGAGGGGAAAGCGCCCAGGTTAAGTGTAAAGAAGGATACCGCAGTGAGGTGTTGCGCTTTAGTTGTCGTGATGGAGTACCACTGAAAATAATCTGTAAACGTGAGTCATCTTCACTCTTAATCTTTACATGTTAATTATGATTAGAAGATCACATGGCGTAACCTAATGCTGTACATGTTTTCAACTTTTCAGCTACTGCCATTCCCTGCAGTCCTCCACGTAAAGTACAGAATGCAGTTGTCGATGCTCCATATCAGAAAGAATACTTATCTGAATCTGAAGTTACTTACAAGTGCCGTGAAAGCTATACAGCGGAGGGAGAAACCACGATTCGATGCAGTGCAGGGCAATGGGGGGAAACGAACATAATGTGCACACGTACGTACATGAAAAATAATTTCACAAAATGTTGTTGTATTATGTAAACCATGGTAACGGGAATTTACTGGCCTGAAGATATACAGTATCTCTAAATCAGAATATGCTGTAAGGCAGTATTGGTTCATAATTTAGCTGTTCAAATATGTAGACTTGATTGGTGTTCATACAACTTTATTAATGGCATATGATTTAAACTGAAAAATAATTCCTTAAGAAATGCTACAATTAGTTTCCAATGTATTATTATCATTAAGATGTGAAGCAGAAGATGCACTGATTTATGTTTATAGATCGCAAATAAAAAAGCGTCTCAAACTTTGTTATGGTTAGGATTAGGTTCTAGTTTCTCTTGGTTATGGTTAGAGAAAGGTTAGAAGACTCTTGTAAAAAGGATGGAGCTGAATGCATTATTTACACACTGCACTTTAAGATATGATACTGAACACATGTATTCCCTCCCACAGCTCTCGCTCAACAACAGTGATGCTGGTTTTGTTGGTGGTCCAAAGAAATGCCAATCAAATAGACCCCCCCTAAAAATAATCTATGGTCTTTTTGGCATCTGTTCATCAGTAAGGAAGTGATTTTTAAGTGTGCATTACTCATACTCATATATCATCTTAATACATCATGCATGTATTATTATATACACTTGTTGGAAATGGAATGACTGAATCAATCATTTATGTATTAAACAACTTTTATACATTTGCCATATTGATTAAAAAAGAAAATGAATTACAATTGCCTTATTTGGTCTCTTTATTGTGTTATAATGAAAAACAAGTCCATAGTGACTGAATATGCTTTTTACTTATTGTAAGTGGGATTTAGAGCAATGACGAGCTAAAGCTGAAAAATAGACTGTAAGATAAGATAAGATAAGATAGAACTTTATTGATCCCAATTTGGGAAATGTTTGTTTAGCAGCAGCATAAAAAGACATGCCATTGTACAATAGAAATTAAAAGACAAGAAATAAACAAGAAAGTAGAAAATATACATGTTGAATTTACAAATTAACAATAACAAGATATAAAGCAAGGTATTATATTTACATAAGTATGTGACAGATGGAATATTAAATATTAGACTGAATATATAAATATAAAATGTACAGTGAAGAGAAAAACTATGGAGCAGAGAGTTCTCTTCCAGCCAGAGGTGATTTGTTGTACAGTGTTATTGCAGTGGGCAGGAATGTTTTCCTGTATCTGTCCTTGTGACAGTGGAGCTTCAGCAGTCTGTTGGAGAAGGAGCTCCGCTGTCTGTCCAGCTGCAGGTGGAGAGGATGGGTGGGGCTATCCATGATGGACAACAGCCTGTTCAGTGTCCTCCTCTCCACCACAGCTTCAAAGGGGTCCAGCTTGATGCCGATGACAGACCCAGCTTTCCTGATCAGTGTATTGATCCTGCTGGTGTCACCGGCTCTGATGCTGCCCCCCAGCAGACCGCAGCAAAGAAGAGTGCACTGGCCACAACAGACTGGTAGCTGATCTCCAGCATCTTGCTGCACACGTTGAAGGATCTCAGCTTCCTCAGAAAATAGAGTCGGCTCATCCCCTTCTTGTACACAGCGTCAGTGTTGATCCTCCAGTTCAGCCCATTGTCTAAGTGCACTCCCAGGTATTTGTAGTCCTCCACGACAGCCACATCCTCTCCCAGAATGCACAGGGGCAGAGGAGGAGATGTCCTCTTCCTCCTGAAATCAATGACCATCTCTCTGGTCTTGGCCACATTCAGAAGCAGATGATTTCTTCCAGTCCACTCCACAAAATCACCCACCAGCGCTCTGTACTCCTCCTCCCGTCCATCCCTTATACACCCTATACCACAGCAGAGTCATCTGAACATTTCTGCAGATGGCATGACTCTGAGTTGTATTGAAAGTCAGTTGTGTACAAGGTGAACAGGAAAGGAGACAGCACAGTCCCCTGTGGGGCTCCAATACTACCAACCACCACATCAGACAGCACACTGCCCAGCCGGACGTACTGTGGTCTGTCCGTGAGGTAGTTGGTAATCCAGGAGATGGTGGATGCGTTTACCCTCATAGCCAGCAGCTTGTCACTCAGTAGCCGAGGCTGGATCGTGTTGAATGCGCTAGAGAAATTTAAAAAGTGAGCACGCTGCAGCAGGTAAATAATGGCATCGTCCACCCCCAGTTGAGGCTGGTAGGCAAATTGCAGAGGGTCTAGAAATGATCTCACCTGCGGTCTGAGATGGGCCAAGACCAGTCTCTCCAGCACCTTCATCACATAAGATATGAGTGCTACTGGGCGATACTCATTGAGCCCAGAAGGTGTCGTCTTTTTAGGGACAGGAACAACGCAGGGCGTCTGCCACAGCACCGGGATGGTCTCGAGGTACAGGCTCAGGTTGAACAGGTGTTGAAGAACAGCTGGCTGGCACAGGTCCTCAGGACCCTGGGGCTAATACCATCAGGGCCTGCAGCCCTAGCAAAGCGCTTTTACATACTACATGTCATTCACCCTTTCACACCTCATTCATACAGAGCAGTGCCAATTGTTCTTTGGAAACTAACATTCATATCTTGTGCAAGAATAAATCGACATGTTGATTGGGATCGAACCCACAACCTTCTGGTTCACAGTCGCCCACAAAAAACAAATTAGAACTTTCTTAAAACCTTTTAACCAATCAATCAAAGGAACACAAATAAAGTTTCCAAAATCAAAGTTTTTACAGTGGCTTCAGATTTTAAGAACTTTTAACATCTATAATAATTTATTTAATATGTGTTTTGAGGAAAAGTATAAAGTATAGGAAGAAAGTAACTTGTGAAACTTGTTGGTTCTATTGGACTGTTGAACCCCAAACCCCAAAGTAATGCTAATGTAACACTTTCAGCTTGAGAAATATGAAATACAAAAATAATGATTTAAGATGATTTAAAATTATAAATAATTATTGGTGATTATTTAGATACTTAAGAAGGATTTATTATAATTTTAAAGGAATACTTAAAACAGTTTATAAAAAGTATGAAATACAAACTATTTGGACCATAAATGCACTCACAGAGCGGTTGTGGGTTAAATAAATAAAACAGCACAGTGGTCATTTAGATTTGAAAGGGACAAAGTACACCATTGTTTTCCACCAGGACTTTTTAGAAAATCATTTAGTTTTCATGTTAAAACTAAGCTCATGGGTTAGTCAAGTTAGGGTAAGACATGTAGAAAGAAAAATGTAAAGGCGACTCATGCTTTGAAGGTTTTTAAATGGGAAATGTCCTAATTATTTGATTTTCTTTTAGTTAAACATCCTTATAGTGCATTATTTCAATACAGTAACTGTAATTCCGTCTTTGACTGGTTGTTCTACTTAATGATTTCTACAATGGACTTTGACTCTGTAGTATCAACACATTGGATGTGGTAACTTGACATAAACTGATACTCACAAACATATCCCAAAGTCCCTCAGCTTTATTTCTAAGTTGCTTCAAGATAGTCGTAAACCAGTGATGTATCTGCTCCGTTAAACCATACCAATTTATAATCACTTTAATCAATAGTGTATTAAATACATTATTTGTTTTTGATGTCCTTGTTGCTGATCCTGTCGGGTCTAACTTGATTTATCATAAAATATTTCCTGATATCTGTCCCAAATATTTATTAACATAATGGTTTCAGAAAGTGCAGAGTCTCTGGTAGTATTTTATGAATTATTTTTGAAAGGATACTAAAGGGAATACACTATTAAATGACTACAAATAGATTATTTATAGTACAAAAGACACTGTCTGTGAACTTTTCTGTAGCTTTTATTATTGCTTTTACGAACAGTGTGTGCTCTTGTTTTCTAATGCGTCATGTTGTGTTCATACAGCCTTGTGCAATCCCACTGACCCTCGGTACTCCCCGAGGACTGTGGCTGGGGACAAACACAGAAAGACAGAGTTGGTCAAAGAAGTTAGTCTCAGTTAGACTTTGTCACTGCACGGCTGCTCCTCAAAATGCAATTGTCTGTAATCCTCTTGCTTCTTCAACTGTGGGGGAGTGTGGAGGTTACCTTATCACAGAATGGTAAGACAGACCTTTTTTTAAATATTTGCTTTTCGTTAGTCGAAACAGAATACAGGTTAAAGGGAGGGGGGGTGAAGTTCATGGATGTGATGTTGACTTTTTAATATTATAGTGTACTGTAAAGTTCTATCCTCATTTTTAAGACATGTCCAATTAACCCTTGCATTCCCCTGTTGCTGTTTGTTAGCATGTCCAAAGGTCCCACATATTCCTAATGCCCATGTGGTTGACGAGACCAAAAAAGCTGAGTACCAACTAGGAGACGTGATACATTTCGCTTGTGAAACTGGTTATATATCAGGTCCAACCATCAGATACGCATGTACAAGCGAAGGGTGGCTTGCACTCCGTAAAGGAAGGTGCTACTGTGAGTTAAACAGCTTTCTTCTTGAGTCATTGTTCTGTTACCACTTCAGTGACGGCTGTCATCAGTTTATAACATATATACATCCTTTATAAACTGAAATTCATTTTTATAAAGACATTTTACATTATTTCCTTCAGGCTCAGAGTAGTTTCACATGTTATTGACACGACTGTAATTGCATACACTTGATTGTCCATAGTATCTGAAAACATTTGGAAACACCCAGAGTCAATTTGTGTTCATGTTCAATTAAAATATCAAATATCAAAACAGGGATAATGTTACATTTATTAAGAAACTGTGCTAAGGAATATATTTGTTTTCAGTAAAGCCATGTGAACTCCCTGACGACACTCCCAATGGCTTTTATCAAATCATCCACGGGGAAGAGCTTGTTTTTGGAACAAAAATTAAATACTTTTGTAATGAAGGGTAAGTGCTCATGGAATGATTCCTAAAATAGACACGTATGTGTGTGTGTCTGTATGTATGATGCCATAAGACATATGTCACCTGATTTCATTTGTTTTAAATTATGTGTTTTTGGTCATAGGTTTCACAAGAAGAGTCACAGGGACAAATACAAACGTCCCGATATGTATTCTCACCTTCTTTATAGTGTGTTATAACCATATATATTAGTTGAATTAAAACATGCCAAAAAAAGTGTAACTTGCATAGTTACACTACACATAACTACTGTCTTTTTTTAATAGTGTTAGAGTGATACAGTAGCACATAAAGAGATATTAATCTGGCACTTTGTTTTTGCAACACTTGGTTATTTATCTGATGGTGTTCATCTCAGCATGTAAACCTTTATTGTACTGTTTAATCACAGGTATCAGATGGTGAGTAAGGATGACACCAGGACTTGTTTCCTGGACAATTGGACCAATCACTTGCCAATATGTGAACGTAAGTCTGGTAACAACACAGCAGCAATATTGTTCAACGTTCTGTCGATTACTATCAACTTCATAGCTACAATGCACACGTTTTTTTTCATGGTTATTTAAAAAGAAAGATTTTATTTTATTAAAGCATAGGTGCTTCTTCGGTATCTTAGTAGGCAGACCTGCGTTAATGTTAAATCATTCAGTTGGCACGAAACTCTCCCGGTTGAATCCTCAGAACCAAAGAGCAACAACTAGAAAGTATGTGTTTCTTTGATAAAAAGTTGATGGTACAATGGGAGAGAGGTTAACACAACTCCCAAGGTGCATTTCGGTATATAACATCCAGGCGTCAACGCATTCAGATTTGATTTTTGGGGTTCATTTTGGATTAATTCAAACTGGTGTTGCAGTTGTCATTCACAACTGCAACACCAAAGCTTTTTTTTGTGGTCCGTGCCTCTCACTGTCTTACCTCAATTGCAACTTGTTGATGATACAAAAATGACATTCAAAACGTTGTTTCTAAGCTATAATGATTACAGTGGTGGTCAAAGCATAAGAGTTGTTGCATTATCTAAAAAAGTATTGTGTTTTCTTTGTTAAAGGAACATATTAGTCTTATTTTCAGGCTCACATTGTATTTTGGGTTTACTAAAACATGTTTTACACACTTCGTTTTATTTTCCTTCTTTGACCTAACTGAGTGTTTGTGTTTACTCAGCTTTGAGCTGTGAACTCCCGCCTGCAAATGAAGGGTTAATGGTAAAAGGTATTCCAGAAAATGATGACCCCATACTTCCTGACCGCTTCCTCGAATTCAGATGTGACGGTCCTTGGAAAAATCTGAATGGAAGCTCAATGCTGATATGTCTTAAAGATGGACAGTGGGACAATGCATTCCCAACTTGTGAAGGTAAAATTTAAAAAAGTATTTTGTGTACTATATCTAGGTAAATACTTTTTATATGTTTGACACTAAGTTTCTCATTTGATAATATCGGTTTCTATTTCTTCCAGACATCACCTGCAAAGTTGAAGAGTTGTCCCTTCATCTCACTGTAGCTGGACTACCTACAGCAAATAAAACAGTAAAGGTTGGACGTAAATTACAATTTCATTGCGAGGATGAATATGGATTGGATGGCTCTGAAGAAATTACATGTTTAGAAAATGGCCAATGGAATGCCCCATTTCCTACTTGTGCTGGTATGTTTACTTTAATTGGAGGTTAATCCAATTTACATACATTTGATATACCTTTTTGCATATTTGAGTTCACCGATCCCTTCAGGTGTATAGATATCCACAGACCAACTCACTGAATACCATAAAAAATGAAGGTAGCTAGATGAGGACACAATCTAAATATGTGAAGGTTTATTAGCGATACAGAAGATGAATGTTAACATATCAGATACATTAACATTAAGCTCAAAGTCTGGTGATCAATAATTACAGAAATGTTTCAACATAATGTCCTCTCAAGAATCTGCAATATATTTTGTCTATACCATATTCAAAAGAAATGTGTCCCTTGGCGGCAGTAGAAACGAGCAGACACTGACATTAGTAATTATCTTTGAGTTAACTTTGTTTACTATAACTATTCTATAACTGTTACTTCAGTTAGCAGTCAGTGTTCCAGTGTGGTTTATTTACGACCTCCCTAATGTGATTTATTGTTAGCTTAAAAATGCTCGTTATAGACTCATTTATAAAATCAAACATCTAAATAGATATCATTTGTCACGCTGAATGCTGCCACATACTCTTCTGTACCTCTATATGGTTCCAATATAAGAAAAGAAATCCAAAAACTCAGATCTATCATTCTATTGTTTATATTGTACAAACACTTGATTGACCAGATTCTCTTCTCCAAACAGAGAAATGCAAAGTCACGGGTGTATCTGACACTGTACGCTACGTCACAGAACGACAAGTCAAAAGGTTGATGTTTCGTTGCCACAAAAATGGAGACACTCTTTTGGGGAATGCAGAAGTGAGATGCTTAGCAAACGGACAGTGGAGTGCTCCCTTCCCAACATGCGGAGGTGAATCTTTTCTTTCTTGCTCCTTTACAATACATCAACCTCAACGTCTTTCTTCTAGTATGGAGTAGTTATTCTGACTGTTTCATGGTGATTCAACTTTCATAAAATACACTGCGATCTGGACATATTTTCGCCTTGTTCATGACCTGAACATTAAAACTTGCATTAAGGTATGGTTTGTTGCAGAGCTGTGACAATAGACTGTATTTGATTTAAGCTAAGTGAACCAAGTAAAATGGCAGTGTGTATGTTTACAGACTTCTAAACCCTAAGATTGTTTATTTATTTGTGTGTGTTTTTTTTTTACATTCTTTTAGCTCCTTCGGGTTGTGGAAAACCAACACCCCTTGAAAATGGAGACATTGAGGGAACTGTTGGACACGAGTACGGGCAAGGAGCCAAGGTTAAATACTTATGTCAGAATTACTACATAATGCAGGGTGATCCTCACAAAACCTGCACCAATGGTGAATGGATTGGACAGATGAGATGCCTCAGTAAGTTACAATTTCATTTACATTTTTTTATTCTGTGAGGTTTTTGGTATAAGGCAATATAACTTCCTGTCTGTTTACCAGTATGCTAGCTAGTAAGGCTTTGAATGTTGAGTATTGTAACAGAACAAGATACTGATTACATTTTGGACTATAGTTTTCAAGCCCTAAATATATTTGTAGTACGTGTGAATCAGAATCAGAATCAGAAATGGGTTTATTGCCAGGTAGGTTCACACATACGAGGAATTTGACTTGATGTCATGGTGCATACATAAAATATAAAACAAAAAAAATCTAATATAAAACAAAAAATCTTTAAGGACAGGACATTATACAATATAATTAAATAGCAATCAAAATAAATAAAATAAAATAAAGCAGTAATTTACAGTGAAATAGAGTGCAGTGAATTATAGAATATAGAATATTAAATATTAAATAAGAATATGTGCAGTAAGCAGTATTTGAGCATTGTGTGCATTAATGTAATGCACATAGAGTCTACGTTGTGGCTGAGGTAAAGTGTCAGTGGGGGGGCTGGGCCTTGTTTAAGAGGCCGGTAGCGGAGGGGTAGAAACTGTTCAGGTGGCGAGAGGTTTTGGTCCTGATGGAGCGCAGCCTCCTGCCAGAGGGTAGGGGGGTGAACAGTTTGTGTCCAGTGCGGGAGGGGTCGGCCACTATCTTCCCTGCCCGCCTCAGGGTTCTGGTGGCGTGCAGGCGTTATAGTCATTTGCCATTTACAATATGCCTGCCCTCTGAATTACTTTTAAGTATTAACAATATGCTGTGTATCCATTTTCTCTTGCAGAACCCTGCACTGTGAATCGCCAAGACATGACTACACATAATATTGGCTTGAGACATGTTGCAAACAATAAAATGTATTCAGAACATGATGATATAATCGGGTTCAGGTGTACCAGGGGAAGACATGACGGCGCATTGGACATGCGTCAGAAATGTAATGATGGTGTAATGCTCCTTCCTACTTGCCACTAAAGCTTTTTAGTCAACTGGATGTGATGACCATGAACTAGCTGGACAAACATGTACATGATTAACCAAAGTAAAGAGTTCGACCAGTTCTTTCCTAATCAAGTGTGTGTAACCCAGTGCTCCGTGTGGTCATTCTAATAAAACAAATATGTTGACTTGGTCAGATTTCTGCCTCTATTTTTCAGATTAACTCTTTATCTTTCATGAAGAGGAAAAAGATGATATCCAAAATATTAATAAAGCACAATAAATAACCAAACTGGGCCAAGTTTCCTAATAATGATTTTCCTTAAACATAAAGATAATTTTCCATGAATGCTTCTTCAACAGTTTTTAAGCAGCAGTTCCCCAGAAAACAGAAATACATATTTCTCTTCACTCCTGTAATGCACTTTATCAGTCTGTATTGTTTTGGTGTGCCGTAGAGATGTCTGCTTCTTCTTGAATATAATGGCACTCGATGCCACTCGGCTTGTGTTGCTCATAGCCTCAAATAGATACGTTTTGGATGTAGAACAAAATAATCCGCAGTCATGGTTGTGAGCAGTTTCATGTAGGAACTATTTTCTATCTACCGAGCTACATTTGCCAACAAATAGACAAATACATATTTTATAGTTGGACTTGTTCATTTTGAAAGTAAGAGTAATGTTCATTACAAACTAGGCTTGCTGCCTGTAACACATCATGGTCCTGGTAAGGAGTTTCAAGAAGTACACTTTACCTGCTGGAGGTACACGTTACCATTATGATCATATTAAACCTTAACTGAAGCCATGTCTTCACCATACACGTAATCTACTGTTATATACTGTACATTTATACCTGTATATACTATACATGTGTACTGGTATACAGTGAGTATATACTGCAATATACTGTTAATATATACTGATCATACACACTGTTATATAATGTTATAAGTTGTGAATGTCATTCTGACATAATTTCTGTAGTATAATAAGATTTAAGATATACGACATAAGCATCATAAAAAAGAGAAGATATGGAACCTGAAACTTCAAAAGAAGAAGGAGGAAGACCTAAAAGTAAAAAAGTAATTAAAACATATATAAGCCAAATTATTTTTGGCAATTTCATTATTTTATTTTGTTTGCTTTTCAACCATATCTTTAAAATATATATATCTGTATATATATATATATTTAGAAAAATCCCCAGACTTACCTTCTATATTCTGATAAAGGTCAAGATTGACGTGAAACAAAAAAAAGAGCATAGAATAACTCTAAAAACATGTTTTTGTGAACTTAACAAGATACAATAGATCATTTATAACAATATGCAAATAGTTGCCTGTATGTACAAAGGATGATGTCTAAGCACATTTGGAATGTTGTGTATTGCAAAGGCTGTGTTGTGTTGCAGTGTGACATGCAATGTGCAATCCCACTGGGCAGTCCATGCTTAACCTCAGCACTCCCTGAGGACTCAAACACACAGGAATTCTGCTCTCAAACAATATTACTCAGAGGAACATGCTGCTGTCTGTAATCCTTCTGCTTTTCCAACTGTGGGGGAATGTGGACGTTTCCTCATCACAGAACGGTGAATATGAGTCCTTTTATAAGTTACAGGGGAAATAATGCATGTGTGTAGGGGTTGTAATCATTGTTTTGAAATTATATTTCTATAAATGAGACTATTACTATTCTGTTGTTTAACAAAATCCATATCAGAAATCCTCATCTTCGTAGATTTGACTCGTAGATAAACGGAGAACAATGTGTGTCATACGTTATATTAGATTTGAACTTGTCAGAGATAAGCACAGTCCAAAGTACTGTATGTGTAGGTAAATAAAGCCTATCTTAAATATTGCCTTTTAAAAGAGATACTTTGAATGGGGGGAAAAGACTGACTAGATGTGACATTCTTTTAAAAGATATGTCACAAATGATTGCATTTTGGGCTGAGGGCAGTCCATGCATCCATGACAGGATACTGCATTATCCTCTTATTCATTGTATTTCAATTCTTACTCTGTGCTCTCAAGCCTTGTTTATGTTTGTGCAACTTAACAGTACATGTAAGAGATCATGTAATAATTGCAACCTGCTTATGCCAATACTCTCTTTGTCATTACCCAAATGCTTCTAGCTTCTTTGGGTTGTGGGACACTACCACCCCTTGCAGATGGAGACATTGAGGTTCTATACCAGTACAGGAACGGAGACAGGGTTAAATACATCTGTCAGAATCACTACATCATGGAGGGAGAGCCCTACAAAACCTGCATCAATGGTGAATGGATTGGACAGATGAGATGCCTCAGTAAGTTAACATTCCCTTTACATTTTTCACCTTCTTTTAGCATTTTTGCATAATTAGATGTTGCTTGATTTTGTTGCTTCATGAATAGTATAATAATTGTACAGAAACATATATTACAGTAATTAAACATCGAAAGGTGGAAAACCATCTGTTTTACCTCAAATAAAAATAAATGTGCTGTCATAAAGTAACGTTTTTGTAACATCCCGTCATGTCTGCTAATGTATTCATGTCATATTAAGTTCATCAGGTTCATGTTATTTGTTTCATGTTTTGTCAAGTCTCTTTGTTCACCTGTCTAGTCCTGTCATTGCACTTCCTGTTTAATTTTGGTACTTACCTTTCCCTCTGGTTTCAGAGCTCTCCTGCCCTTGTGTGTCTTCCTCCCCATGTGATTGTCAGCCCCTCCCTTGATTGTTGCCACCTGTGTCCCATTACCTCTTGTATATAGTCCTCGTCTCCCTTTGTCCTGTGCCAGTTCACCTTGTGCCTTGTGCCAACAAGAGAGCCAGCTTTTCAGGCCAAGAGAAAAATGTAACATTTTTTTAAAAGATAAATGATTGCATTTTGGGCTCAGGGCAGTCCATGCATCCATGACAGGATACTGCAATATCCTCTTATTCATTTTATTTACATTCTTACTCTGTGCTCTCACTCCTTGTTTATTTGTGTGCAACTTAACAGTACATGTAAGAGATCATTTAATAATTGCAACCTGCTTATGCCAATACTCTCTTTGTCATTACCCAAATGCTTTTAGCTTCTTCGGGTTGTGGAAAACCAACACCCCTTGAAAATGGAGACATTGAGGGAACTGTTGGACACGAGTACAGGAACGGAGCCAAGGTTAAATACATCTGTCAGAATTACTACAAAATGCAGGGTGGTCCTCACAAAACCTGCACCAATGGTGAATGGATTGGACAGATGAGATGCCTCAGTAAGTTACAATTTCATTTGCATATTTTTATTCTGTGAGGTTTTTGGTATAAGGCAATATAACTTCCTGTCTGTTTACCAGTATGCTAGCTAGTAAGGCTTTGAATGGTGAGTATTGAAACAGAAAAATATACTGATTACATTTTGGACTATAGTTTTCAAGACCTAAATATATTTGTAGTACGTATGAATTAGGCATTATAGTCATTTGCCATTAACAATATGCCTGCCCCTCTGAATGACTTTTAAGTATTAACAATATGCTGTGTATCCATTTTCTCTTGCAGAACCCTGCACTGTGAATCGCCAAGACATGACTACACATAATATTGGCTTCAGACATAGTGCAGACAATAAATTGTATTTAGAACATGATGATATAGTCGGGTTCAGGTGTACCAGGGGAAGACATGACGGCGCATTGAACATGCGTCAGAAATGTAATGATGGTGTAATGCTCCTTCCTACTTGCCACTAAAGCTTTTTAGTCAACTGGATGTGATGACCATGAACTAGCTGGACAAACATGTACATGATTAACCAAAGTAAAGAGTTCGACCAGTTCTTTCCTAATCAAGTGTGTGTAACCCAGTGCTCTGTGTGGTCATTCTAATAAAACAAATATGTTGACTTGGTCAGATTTCTCCCTCTATTTTTCAGAGGAACTCTTTATCTTTCATGAAGAGGAAAAAGATGATATCCAAAATATTAATAAAGCACAATAAATAACCAAACTGGGCCAAGTTTCCTAATAATGATTTTCCTTAAACATAAAGATAATTTTCCATGAATGCTTCTTCAACAGTTTTTAAGCAGCAGTTCCCCAGAAAACAGAAATACATATTTCTCTTCGCTCCTGTAATGCACTTTATCAGTCTGTATTGTTTTGGTGTGCCGTAGAGATGTCTGCTTCTTCTTGAATATAATGGCACTCGATGCCACTCGGCTTGTGTTGCTCATAGCCTCAAATAGATACGTTTTAGATGTAGAATTTAAAAGCAGTGTTGATTTCCAGAAATCAAAATAATCCGCAGTCATGGTTGTGAGCAGTTTCATGTAGGAACTATTTTCTATCTACCGAGCTACATTTCCCAACAAATAGACAAATACATATTTTATAGTTGAATTTGTTCATTTTGAAAGTAAGAGTAATGTTCATTAAAAACTAGGCTTGCTGCCTGTAACACATCATGGTCCTGGTAAGGAGTTTCAAGAAGTACACTTTACCTGCTGGAGGTACACGTTACCATTATGATCATATTAAACCTTAACTGAAGCCATGTCTTCACCATACACGTAATCTACTGTTATATACTGTACATTTATACTTGTATATACTATACATGTGTACTGGTATACAGTGAGTATATACTGCAATATACTGTTAATATATACTGATCATAAACACTGTTATATAATGTTATAAGTTGACATAATTTCTGTAGTATAATAAGATATACAACATAAGCACCATAAAAAAGAGAAGATATGGAACCTGAAACTTCAAAAGAAGAAGGAGGAAGACCTGTCGGCACATTGAACATTGAACATGAGATGTGTTGATGGTGTGATGCTCCTGCCCACTTGCCAGTGAAGGGGTTATTTCACTCAAAGTGACTGGCCTGATTTGGCTGAATACCATTTGAATGCTAAATAAAAGCACAAAAATTGAGCATATATATAAAAAATACACGTTCAATCAGTCTGTTTCCTTCCTTACTGTATATGTATTATGAGAAAATATGTAAATACTCCTGATTACCATCTTTATTTTCCAACTCTAAGAATGTCATTGAGTAGATGATGACAATACTTTCTAGTATTATAAGTATTTCAAAGTATGTACCTTGCTTGCAAACAGTTTTTTTATTTCAAATGCCCCCTGTGCAGATGTGGGAGAAGTACTCAGATCTTGTACTTGAGTAAAAGTAGAAGTACCATCAAAAAAGTACTTATTATGCAAACTGGCCCTTTTCAGAATAATATATATTATATGATTTGACTATAATTATTGATGTATTAAAGTGTTTATCAAAGCTGGTAAAGGTGCAGCTAGTTTTAATTATTTCTGTATACTGCAGGGTAGCTTGTGAATGTACTCCAGGTGTAACTAAAGTCTGATTTAAGTGTGAATTATATTTCACATCATTAATCCATATCTGCAAAGTAACTGAAGGTATTAAATAAATGTAGTTGAGTCAAAGTATACAATATACCTCTGAATTGTAGAGCAGTGGATGTAAGAAGTAGCAAAACATTGAAATACTCAAGTAAAGCAGAAATACCTCAAAATTGTACTAAAGTACAGTACTTTAGTAAATCTACTTAGTAACTTTATACCACTGCCCCTCTCTGTCAAACGAATACCCTTTGGTACATTGAGATCGGTTCGATGTTTTGAAGGTGTGATGACCCTGCTCTCTGCCAGTAAACGATTGAGCTAACTGGAAGTGACATGAGCTTGCTGGACAAACATGTTAATGATAAACCAGAGGAAAGAGATTGACAACATTTGTAGAACAGTTCATGCTACTGTAATCTGCACAATTCAGTGCTTTATACTCCAAAAGTTGTAATTTTGAAATATATTATTCCACAGACAGGAAGCCAGTGTACATTTATGAGAACTGGAGGGATATGGGTCTTTGTTGGGACCCCTTAGAGAGACATCATTACTGTATAAGCCTATAGAAGGTAAAAGGGGAGGACAAGTTATTCTAAACCCTGGTCAGACTGTCGTCCTCAAATTCGTGGACTTCTTTAAATAACTGAAAGAGAACAAACAGTTTTTATATTTTATTTGTTATACTTACTCATATAACCTGCACGTAAATCATTGTTTGCATGCTGAAATGTATGAAATACTTATTTTTCCAATACTGCAAAATACGGTGGAAAAAACTATTTCCATATCAGGGTTGTTTTATAATACAAATAACATATATATAGGGAGAGAGAGAGAGAGTGTGTGTGTGTGTGTGTGTGTGTGTGTGTGTGTGTGTGTGTGTGTGTGTGTGTGTGTGTGTGTGTGTGTGTGTGTGTGTGTGTGTGTGTGTGTGTGTGTGCGTGTGTGTGTGTGTGTGTGTGTGTGTGTGTGTGTGTGTGTGTGTGTGTGTGTGTGTGTGTGTGTGTGTGTGTGTGTGTGTGTGTGTGTGTGTGTGTGTGTGTGCGTGTGTGCGTGTGTGCGTGTGTGCGTGTGTGTGTTCGTGTGCCTGCGTGCGTGCGTGTTGTAAGGGGGAGGTACTCGTGTTCCTGAGACAGTTTCATTCAATTGTTTGTGCTTTCCACTGTGTAGAAAGACTCGATTTAAGTAATTACAGAAGCACAGCTATTCCTGGATCCTCACAATGACATCTTTTTACTTTCTTGGGTTCTTTATACTATGCCTTAAAATGGATACGTCTTTACAACAGGAAGGTAAGCAAGAGGGGGAATTATTTATGAATCCCTCTGTTTCTCTATATATGAATAAAACCATATCCAGGACTTAATGTGAACCTATGTGTGAACTGAGTAACTTCAATTGACTTGTTATATCAGACAAACCACTGAAAACTGGTGCTGTGACGGACAGTGCAACAATAAAATGTAAACTATATCTGCCACCACTGGAAGGAACCAGCTATGAACCTGCAGTTAAAAAACAGCAACAGATGTTATGCCACCATGCCCTCCCACACCCCATTGTTACAGGCTGCATCCACACTACGGCTTTTTAATTAGCCTTTTCCTAAATACATTTGTATTCTTGCTTATGTGTATTATGCAACAAAGATAATATGTTCAGCACCCAAAAACTGAATCTTTGCTCATTAAAGGGTGATCTTATTTTTCTTTATTGGAGACTAGTATTCATTTCTAAATGGTTTGTTTCACTTTATTTTAACTATTATTATTTACAGTTTAACTGAAAATTCAAGGGAAATTTTCATTCTGTTTATTTCTGTTTCATTCCCTAAATTATTTTTAAAAACACTACATTTAAAATGTGTTGGGGTAATGTTTGTTGGGAGCCCCACACCTCTGTGTGAACGTAAGTAAAAACTGAGTAATGCAGTGTACTGGTGACACTTACCAATAAATATAGGTTCTGACGGATAATGTGTTTATTTTTCAACAAATACAGCAATAACATGTAAACTACAACTGCCAGGGCTGAAAGGAACCAGCTATGAACCTGCTTATAGAAACACGTTTCTACCTGGTGACCAAGTGACAGTAACTTGTGAAGACAAGTACTGGATTTTTGGGCATCAACCGACTTCAGTCGTAACTACATGCAAAGAGGACGGAGAGTGGACTATCAGACCTCTATGCCAAGGTATATACTGCTGTGAATGCTGTTTTATTTTTTTATATTTCATAAGCTGTGATGATGGTTATCAATCATGTCTCGATTACTTGAGATTTACAAAACATTTTCTTATTCTAGAGGTTACGTGCAGCAAACAAGGAGTCCCACATGTGTCTTCATGGGACAGTCGTCGGCAGCAAACATTCAAATCGGGTGAGACGACACGTTACGGGTGTGAGACAGGCTACAGGAGGAAAGATGGCGCCAGCAGGGCCACATGCACCCGAGATGGATGGCAACCAAATCCACTTTGTGAAGGTATTGTGAAGTAAACCTTATGTTTATAAGATATCTGTTATTTTGTTTCCATACTTGGCTATAGGGGGGGAGTTTTTACTATATACTATATTGTTTACTGTAAAGGCTACTTTTAAAAAAAAAGAGTCCCATGAACTAAATGCAGCTAAGCACAGGAACAGTCAGGAATTTACTTATTTTGTTTTCAATTGCTTACACATGCTTTTTTCTTTTGATCGCACAAGTCTTTAGGGTGGTATAAACATCATGACTAACAAAAACTAAACAAATATATTTTTATTTTGGTTTTATTGTGTGTCCTTTGTAGAGGACATCGGGTGTTAGTTATGCGAAGCATAGTAACAACATTAACATACAAGTACATTTAGACAACATTAGAGCACAACAACTCAATGCAACAAATATTGAGCCCTCATTTGTAGAACTCCATCCTTTTTTGAAATGCAGAGATACATCTGACACTTGAGGCACTTGATGTATGTTTTCCCACTGCATCCGTCTGCCATGAACCCTACAGAAACCTAAGTGTTAGTTTTGGCCCATAGTGGACTCCATTTGTGTTGTGTAAAATGGGGGAAATAAGAAGTTAGCAAATCCCCATGTCCTCCTCAGAGGACATTCCTAAAAACAGTTAGTTTTAGCTCAAATAAGTATGACACTGCTCTGAAAACTCACTACACTAACTCCTAAGATGTTCCCTTACTATAATTAATAAAAAAATATTGAACTCACAACACTGGTAATTACAAAATTACAAACTTACCATTTCTCTTTCTATAAATAGTGCTTGTGTTGATGGACGCCATTTTGAAATACAATGAAATTATCTTTTTCAAAGCCACACCCCCACATTATGTCATATGTTTGAAAAGCCCAGGATGTCCTCTGTGGAGTACAATTGGACTTAATGCTGTGGCATGTATAAGCTCAAAGTAATGGACTAAAACCCAATGTGCTCCACAGAGGACAAAAATGAATGGGTGGGTCTCTGGAGGATAAACACTTGAAGTGTGCACCAAATGGCACACACTTCATTTAAAATACGAGACACTTTTTCCAACCAACTTCAAACTCTGGTGCTCAATCAAAAGCACACTAATTTCTTATGGACTTTGTTCTGTATGTAGATAGTTCTGCAGGACAGAGATATGTGCAGAAACACAAATATTTTGTTGAAAGTAAACATTTGTATTTGAAAATAGAGGGAAAGAGGTAGACAGACACACATACACTATTAATCACCCTGTCAAGAACACCAACATAACAAAAAGCACATAATGACCACCATGTAAAATGTAAAAAAAGCAAAATATTTAATACCACCACGCCCCTCCTGTTCAAGGCGCATTCCACACTATGGCTTTTTCATTTGCCTTTTCCTTAAAGGTCCCCTATTATACTGTTTTTCATCAATATATTATAGTTCTCAGTCATATACAAAACATGTCTCTGAAGTGTTTGGCTCCAAACACCAAACAGATCATGCATTGTAGCATCCCATAAACCCCTCTGTTTCAGCCCTGTTTCAAAAGTGCTGATTCTCTGTCTGTTACTTTAGATGAAAATAAGGAGCCACTCCCCACGCCCCTCTGAGAGATATTTGGTTAAAAAGAACACAATGGTGCTCTAGAGGAGATTCAGGTGATAAGGGGGGGGGGGGTGTTACCTTGGTTGGTTATAGGCTAATGGTTACACAAGCCAATAACTTGTGTAATTGGCTTGTAAAGTGGCCGAAATCTGATCAGCTCATTTTCAGACAGGTTTTTATATAAATGGATCAGGACAAAAAGTGAGCAAATCTTTTTTCCTGAAACTCTCAGAATCTCTTTACGCAGAGGGGACACATGTGTATGTATAAGATGCATGAAAAAGTGGATTTTGCATAATAGGTGACCTTTCAGAAATCTTTATTCTTGCTTGTGTATTATTCAACAGAGATAATATGTACAGCACCCGAGATTGAAAATGGTGATGTGCTTGGACAAATCCAAGAGTACATAGAAAATCAAGTCCTGGAGTTTCAGTGTAAACCCTCATTTAGACGCGCTGAAGCCAGATCTTCAAAATGCACAAAGCAAGGAGTAAGAGCAGAATGGAGCCCCACACCTCTGTGTGAATGTAAGTAAAAACTGAGTAATGCAGTGTACTGGTGACACTTCCCAATAAATATAGGTTCTGACGGATAATGTGTTTATTTTTCAACAAATACAGCAATAACATGTAAACTACAACTGCCAGGGCTGAAAGGAACCAGCTATGAACCTGCTTATAGAAACACGTTTCTACCTGGTGACCAAGTGACAGTAACTTGTGAAGACAAGTACTGGATTTCTAGGCATCAACCGACCTCAGTCGTAACTACATGCAAAGAGGGCGGAGAGTGGACTATCAGACCTCTATGCCAAGGTATGAAACTGCTGTGAATGCTGTTTTATTTTTTTATATTTCATAAGCTGTGATGATGGTTATCAATCATGTCTCGATTACTTGAGATTTACAAAACATTTTCTTATTCTAGAGGTTACGTGCAGCACACAAGGAGTCCCACATGTGTCTTCATGGGACAGTCGTCGGCAGCAAACATTCAAAAAAAAAATTCAATTGCTTACACATGCTTTTTTCTTTTGATCACACAAGTCTTTAGGGTGGTATAAACATCATGACTAACATTGAGTGTCCTTTGTAGAGGACATCGGGTGTTAGTTATGCGAAGCATAGTAACAACATTAAGTACATTTAGACCACATTAGAGCACAACAACTCAATGCAACAAATATTGAGCCCTCATTTGTAGTACTCCATCCTTTTTTGAAATGCAGAGATACATCTGACACTTGAGGCACTTGATGTATGTTTTCCCACTGCACCCTACCTAAATCGGCGTTGTAAGGGAAAGTTACAGCCTAAATGATCGCATCCGATATGCATGCAAGAACAACGTTGAAATAATTGTTCCTATTACCTGTGAAGAAAATGGTTGGAATGGGATTCAGAGCTGTTCAGGTAAAGTCAAACAACAAATCATTCAACAAATACAGCTTAAAGGAAAATTATAGAGGGATTGGCTTCGGGTGTTTAATTAGCATGGTCTTAGCGTGTTCTCTTAACAGCTAAAAAATAACATCTTCAGTGACTTTAAATTGCATAACTACTTCGATGACCCTGTTTCATCAGTTTCAAAATGTGTACTGTTGAACAATAAAAACGTATTTTTGTAATGCTTAAAACACACATTAAGAACTTGATTTATTTGTAACAGGCTTGCTGTTCAGTAGATCATCAAGAAATTGATCACTTAAAGAGTAAAAGGGGAGGCACCTTACTTTCTGACCTTGTCTTTAAACTCTATTATATAGTTTCTATTTTTACTTCTATTCATATTGTGGTTTCATTCATGTCTATTTATTTGAGCTGTCCCTATCTTTCTTTGTGTTGCCTCAACAACTGACTTTGGGGATCAACAAAGGCATTTTCTTTTCTTTTTTCTTGAAGACATCATTTTTGAAATGGTTTGTTTGATTATGTTTTAATGTAACCTGAATAGCTGGAGGATGTGTGAATAACTTCAAATATTCATTGAATTTGTTTCAGAAAGTCACTGCAAGAAACCTCACATCGACGGTGCAAACTTTATCGGCGTTGTAAGGGAAAGTTACAGCCTAAATGATCGCATCCGATATGCATGCAAGAACAACGTTGAAATAATTGTTACTATTACCTGTGAAGAAAATGGTTGGAATGGGATTCAGAGCTGTTCAGGTAAAGTCAAACAACAAATCATACAACAAATACAGCTTAAAGGAAAATTATAGAGGGATTGGCTTCGGGTGTTTAATTAGCATGGTCTTAGCGTGTTCTCTTAACAGCTAAAAAATAACATCTTCAGTGACTTTAAATTGCATAACTACTTCGATGACCCTGTTTCATCAGTTTCAAAATGTGTACTGTTGAACAATTTCTACTTCATGCTTTTTCTCTCCCCTCAACACACGCCTGTTTACTTGAAAATGATAAATGAAGCTCCTCTCTTGATTTACTGCACTCTAAAGCCTTGCTTTGGCTTTCATTTAAATAACAATGCTATCTTGTTATCATCCTGATAATTGCAATGCTAGCATGCTGTAAAGGTATCAGGTCAACTATCTTAATTTAGCCTGGTTAAATTCAGCATGTTAGCATGTCGACAGCATGTTCAAAAGTTGCAGTCTCACATGGATTTGTATTCTTTAAAACATTTAAATGTTTCTATTGAAAACTAGAATGTCTCAGGCATCATGTCCAGCAACATGAGCTTGTCTCCTATATGTTATATAAGAACTCAACAATAAATATGTTGTGAACGTAATATAAACAGAGTTATGCAAAGTACTGGTAATAGCACATTGTAAGACTTTGGACGCATTCCCACAATGTCAGTGAGGGCTTTGGTCTGCCACTCTGTCAAAAGTGCTTAAGGACACTCAATGTGATCCCTTGATGCACACTATCAGTAAGTCAGCATTTTTGCAGGGAGCTTTGTGAAGTTAAAAAATAGATACAACCAGCCTTTTGCTTACACCTTTGCTGTAGCTCTATGGTGTTGCCAGGGTTTCTGCTCTGGTCACATGACTGAACACTATGAATACTCTTTTAAACACATGCAGCCTCTCACACTCAAGGCTCACATATTGGTATTAGGCCAAAATAAAAAGGGATCATCCCCACTAAAACTACATATCATTATATATATTGTAATTCCTGTGCTTATCTTTTAGTCTACAGTACATACAAATATAGAGTATATTTATGTTTGAGAATGGTTGTCACTTCTACAATCCAGTACCTGAACTGTATGATATACTTTTTAGAAGTTCTAGGTTGTGGCACAGCACCAATCATTGCCGATGGAGACCTCAAGTACACCAGGAAAAGTAATAACAGCCATAATGATATGGTTGAATACATGTGCCAGGCATACTACACCATGGAGGGAGAGCCTTACAAAACCTGCGTCAATGGTGTATGGACTGGACACACGAGATGCATCCGTAAGTTACAGGTTCTTCTTTTAATAACATGTGCAATATTGAAAAGTGAAAATCAAACTTCATTTTAAAATGGTTAGAGTCGTTGCATGTTGTAATTTGATTGGAAACCTAATTGATGAAATCCATTTATGCAACATGTCATTTGTGCCTGACCTACGTTCATGGCAATAACAGAGTACGAAATATGGAAAGCTGTTTTAGCATTTGAGCTGTGTGGCCCTTTTATTTAACCTCCTCTGCCAGAGTTTAAACTGTTCAACAAAAGAGGAATGGTTTGTAAACAGTTAGGTGCCAAGAGGCAATGTGTCTCAAATAAACTGTCAGCTTATTGTCACATTAGCAACCAAGCTAAGCTCCCAAGCTAACAGAGGGCTATATTTATGTAAGTATTTATGTATATTTATATAATTCCAGGGGGAGAGTGAATGGCACAGCACAGAGTAAATAGAAATAAGGTCAGAGAGTTAGTTTGAATTACTTGTGCTGGGCCTGCTGGCTGGCATGTAAGCAATCAGCTCTCCAATTATTTTAGCTCACCAACTAGCCCTCTAAATCGCTCAACTATTGCCCAACATTGGCAAAAGTTGTGAATGCAGTATGCTTTAGTCATTCCTGCCCTTATCCAAATGCTATGTTGATTGTCTCTTGCAGAACCCTGTACCGTGAATGAAGACGACAATAAACAACATAATATTACCGTTAAATATAATGGCAGTACATATTTCACTCATGATGAAATAATTGAGTTTAGGTGTGCCAGAGGAATACCTGTTGGTTCAGTATCATTACTTCAGAGGTGTAATAGTGGTGTTATTGTCTTGCCTACTTGCCAAGAGTTTTAGTCAACAGTAGATCAAAGTAAAAAACTGATTATGCAGAGTTATGAACTGATTCCGTCTCCTCTTTGATGTTGTCAACTGTATAAATGTTAATAAAGCATACATGACACATCTCTGTCTCTTTTCTGCCTCCTAAATACAGTCTGTAGCATACCATGAGCAAAAAGAAACGATTAGAATTTAGCCAGCGTAGAAATAAAATCTGGTATGGATTGGAAGTCAATGGGTCTCATGAAATGAAAGCTATTGCAAAGAAATTTGACTTTTCAATAAAGAAACAGCTTATTTTTCAAAGATATTAGTATACAATTAAATTAAAACATTAAACATATATAAAAGATAAAGAGATGTATCCAATGTTTAGTTTAGTCATATGATATTGAATTGATTTCAAGTCATTAGTTCCCATAATATAGGAGCTTATTTTCAATTTAAAAACTGCAGATTTCAGATCCTATTTAGTAATTTAATGCTGCATTGTTTTACACGAAATAGTTCATATGACATGAAAGCTTATAAACATATTTAAGACTTTAACCACCATCCAATTAAAATTAGAATGCCATAATTGTCTAGTTATACAATTCTGCATTGACATGGAGATATTTAGGTCTAATGATAGGGAAGCTATTTAAAAGATGTAATAATCTTAATACAATGATGAACATCATTGTATATATAATTAATTATACCAATGCTTTAACATACCTCATTGTAGAGTGTGTAACAGTGCTAACAATTACATTAGGTGGCTAAAACTTCCCACCTGGGAGCAAGTTACCCTGAATTTCATTTAAACACCCACCTGTTCAGCCTCATTTCAGTATAAAACCCATTAGATAGATAGATGAAACTGGCCCGTGTATAAGAAACATATCCATTTTAATATTTACATGGAAATCATGGAAATGCAATAGTAAAAAAAAACTCAAACAATACAAAAAACTATATTTTCTGAAGCACAAGAATGAGATGATAAAATGAAGATTTAAAAGCCTGTATTTACAACACAATAGAGAGTGTGTTTGCCACCATCTGAATGGCCCGGAGAGGATCCACAATATCTTTGAACTTGTCCCTTCTGAGAACCCAATCCGGTGCAAATCTGAAAAACAAACAGGATGTCAGTTACCACTGCAAAACACATGAAATCTGTGAATCTCAGACAAATACTTTACTGTACATAGACACATTAAAAACGTACTTTGGCACAGGGCGGGATTTACGAGGCGTCGTTTGAAAGAAAAAGCTCCCGTTGATTGATGCGTTCATTTTCTGTTTCGTAACAGTTCTTTCAGCGTCCATCTTGTGTTTGCGAGCGGTGAGGCGGTAGATACTGCGTAGCCTATCCAACACTTTGGGTAGCTTCATAACCTCCTATAAATAAGAGAGTTCACATTTATTACAAAACTACAATAGCAGTTTCTGTCAGATTAGAATTTGGTTGTGTGAATTCTATAATAACATATTTCAACAGTATTTATGTCAGAGGAGCTACGGACCACAACGCGGTACTTGTCTTGCAGGAGGAGAGCAAGAAGGAAGCAGGCCTTTGTGAAGATGCTGCCGCCCTTTTCTGCCACTTTATCTCCAGCTTTCTCACGGTATCTCTGCAGCAGGTCCAGCAGAGTCTCGACAGAGTTTTCCACCGAATACACTGCCTCAATGGTCTTGTGGTACTATGGAAGGAATACCACGAAAGAGTGGGGGAGAGGAAAGGAAGAAAAACACAGGGAATCAAACAAACTACATATTTTACTTTTTAAAACCATCAATGCTTTTGCTTCATCATTCCTTTGGAAGGCTCTGATTAAACCATCTGTTGGTTTGAAGCCATTGTATAATGTACTGGCATTCCTTTTCTTACCCCACCTTCCTCCCTCTTCTTCCAATATAAAAAAAGGTTAAAAGTCCAAACTGCTATTTAAACATGAGGACAAACATCTAATTGTGGAGCTGTACCAACTGTTGAACTTCAGATTTTTTTGTATTCATTTTTTGTATTCTTTTTTAAACCATCAAGTATAGCCATTAATGGAAAATGTTTCACTTTGAAAAAGCAGAATTTCCAAGTCTTGCAATTTGAATCCACATTTTGTAAACTACACTTATTTAAGCCTGTAACACACAATTATCTGACAAAAAAACGATTAGACACAATTAACTTGTATTTAATACATCTAAGGGTCTTTCTGAAATTAACTTAGTTCAGGACATGTAATAGATTACTGTAAATCACGTAGTCTCCCTAGGTTTTAAATCACTGGAAAACATATTTCATAGAACAATGTACTACAAATGTTATAGTTAGATTTATTTCTTAATGTGTTCCTCATGAATAAAATGCAGACACTGCAGAATGTTCAAGACATACTAACCAACGCTTGACTGCTCTCTGGGCTACAACCACATTCCTCCTGTCCTCAAGATACCGTCTCCTCTGCTGCCTCGCCTTCACACAATTGTTTTCCTCCACTAAGAGATAGCTAAGATCAGCGCAATATAGATATAATCTATCTATATGGCGCTGGCTAAGATAAGATAACTTTAACAAGATGCCTGTGTGCTTAGTACCAGGTTGTTATTATACCAGCAATGGGTCTTGCTCGTTCTTTTGCTTCCCGTCTGATGAAAGGACCAGGAGTGGCTTGATCAAGTTAGCTACCTAGCTAGTAGCTAGCACGTTAGTTAGCATTACAGCCTTGTCATTTTTATTAGCCTTAACATGAAGTAACATTAAGTAACCCAAAATGTTAAACAGTAAGAGTAGTAGTCATATTTCGTGAACCCTTTGAATAGTACTGTCACCGGTGTGATCATTCTATAATACACCATTTAAGCCCGGGGGAGAAATGCTAACGCTAACGTTAGCATCGGTGATCTTCTCTACTTCATGCTATCTGCACAAATGGTTGACATTAAACATTAAAACGACCAGGCAGTTCAGAGAGAATCAAAGGAAGGCAGGCAGGCAGCTTTGCATGACATTCTTCAGGACGTGTTTCATTGTGGTGATAGTGAGGATAGTCAATCGTTGTGTTGACAAGACAGTAGTGACGGCCATCTTGGTGACGTGTGTTGTTGACCAGAGATGTAGTTCATTGAGCGTTTCACACAAACAAATGTGTTACTTCACAGTTTTACGACACATTTTTTTTTTTTTGACTTGCAAAATTATCTTTTAAATTGACAAACATCATATGTGTAATTCGTGGCACAATTCAAACGGGATCGAAAGATAATCTTTCTCTCTCCATTGACTTCAATGCATAACTTTTCCGAAATAAGGTCCCATGGGGCTCAACCGGAAGGGGAGGGACTTCGCCACTCTATTCTCTCACACATGCTCACTCACACATGCTCCACGGCAGCAGGGGGCGCTACTGAGTCCATTGGGAAGGCGGGAGGTTGAGCAGAGCATGGAACAGCCCTTGCAAGCCTGATGACAGCCGTGTTTCTAGCGATCACAACGAAAACAGCCAAGACACATATTGAGCCCAGAAAATGAATGTTATTAGGGCTGTAAATATAATAAGCCTTTGTCTAAAATGGACAACATTGTAACTAAAGAGATTTAAACTATACAGCGATTCTGCACTCGGTCAATCAGCTGCTCTTCATTTTCTTTCCTGCTATATTCAATGAGTGATACAAATATTTTTTACCATACGTTCTGAATAAAACTGATACTGTTGGACTCAGTACTAGTACCACAAGTACTATGAAGTACTTTTACTGTGTACTTTTTGAGTAATCCTCTGTCAATGTCCCCTCCTGAGTACAATGCATGTTTCTCTGCTATTTTGAATAAGCGTTAAAACACCTTTCTTATGAGACTGATATTGTTGGACAGAGTACTTTAAGAGGATGGTTGACATGTGTTAGAAATTAAAATCAATGTTTTATGGCATAATTTAGTTTAAACATTCCGTCAGCTTAAAAGCAGTTTTATTCTGAAAATCCTTCATTTCCGGTTAGCATTAGCATGTGGCTAACGTTTTGAAACCGTGAATTGAAGGTGAAATGACATGTGATGTTGTACACTAAACACACTGGGATTAGCACTCATTTATTGACGCTGAATAACGTTTATCAGGGAATGTTTAAATAACCACAGACACCAGAAGTATGTAATTTAGCAACAAAAAAAAGGCAGGAATTGCATTGCACCAAGATTGGTATAAGATCAGCTTTTAAGGTCAGCATCTATAGAATTTAGAGCTAAGATAAATGAAGATTGTCTTGTTTTGTATTGGAGTTTTTCAAGCAGTGTGGTTTTTATCTGCATCACATGTTCCCATTGTTCCCCTCCCCTTCCCCCAGAGCATGAGGTTAATGCTATACTGCTAAGCTAGTTAGCTAGCCAGTTGGCATTACTAGGTGGTGAAATAGTTTGAGAAAAGATACAACCGGTAACTACTGATTAAATACACAGGGATGGTGTAGATGAACATTGAGAGTAGATTAAGTTGTTTTTGTTTTTCATGCTTTTCAAAGAAAGTAATTTGAACTTTATTATTTGGGAATAATAAACCGGAAGTAGGTTTATGAACCGGAAGTACTAGTTGATACATTTGAAAGGGGTTAAAAATAAAACAGCTCCCCTAGCGGACATAATAAGTATTACAGTTAATACATTCTTCACCACACACAGATAAAGATTACATGTGGTTTATCTGACTTGAAGTATTGTAGTTAACACATTTTATTACATTTGCATAATTTCATAAACTTCATAATACACTGTACACAGTTTACTTTCAAAATTTTGAATTCGTTTTCCAATTTCTGTTTAAAAAAAAAAAAAAAAAAATTACCAGATTTCAAAGTTAAGTTCAGATGACATAGGATATCTTTATAAATAATACAAAGGTACTATTCAGAGGATTAGTAATTCATTTTTGATAACTTAATAATATTATCCAAGTACTTAAGAAACATGTCACCAAAAGACACTAAGTTAAGAGCATTCACAATGCCAGGCTCAACTGCAGATATTAAGGAGAGGGTAAACATCTGGTCAGATGCTATGACAGCTCCCAGTAAAAGACAGAAGACACAGAACCAAGTAGAGGAACTGTTCAAGCAGTGGCAAATGAGAGGATTGATTCCAGCAGATGATCAACCTGGACCAACGGAAGCCCATAGAAAAGCTGTAGTTGAATATGAGAATGCTGAATACCTACAACAGCAAGAAGCATGGATCAAAGCCGGACGGCCCTCTTGGTATGGACCTGAAAAAATTGCTATGAACAGAGCTGAAAAAAGAAAAGGGAGAGTTACAAGACTGGTACTCTATCTGGAAGATGTCCGCCAAGGATTGACAAACAGCTTACATATGGTAGAAGCAGAAGATCTGCCAGTAAATGAAGACACAGCAGAAACAACAGAAGAGGCTCCAGTTATCCAAACTCCAAAGCCGTATCCAAGCCTGACCGAAGTGTCTCCTCCCGACATATCAGAGAACAACCCTTCTCACCAAGCTTCAATTCAAGCCCCAAATGTGAAAGAATTGGCGTATGAGGTAAGAATCCTATCCAGTGTCAACCAGCTGATGGAAGCAGAACTCGGCAGAAGAATGGAAAAACTCAGCAGAAGAATGGAAGCAGAACTCAACAGAAGAATGGAAGAACTCGGCAGAGGAATGGAAGAACTCAAAAGAAGAGAGGAAGAAAGACAAAGACAAGAACATGAAGAAAGAAAAAGATGGGAAAAAGAACAAGAAGAGAAACAATTCCGAACTGGTTACTCTCCTGAAACAACACATTCCGCAGAAGAAAGACGACGGGCAGATGAAGCCCATAATGACATTATGGCAGAAAGAAAAAGGACAGAAGACGAAAGATTCCAAGACATGATGGCAGACAGACACCAGAGAGAAAGGAGAGAACAAGAACAACAAAGAACTCAAAGATGGGAAGACTCTCAAAGAACACGCCGAACAAACTACTCTCCAGACGAACAAAATTACAAAGGACAAGGACACGATGACAGCGACAGTGCACATTCTGTAACCAGCAGACACTCAGTATGTCCGGAAGACACACGGCAACAACAGACCAGGGGCACTGTACATAGCGTCATGCCATTGATAGCGGCTGGAAGAGGAGGATTTGACTACCAACCATGGACTCACAGGGACATGGAATCATTAGTGGCAAAGCTACCTCCACTCACCCAAGGAGGTCAGAAGTGGGTGAAAGATCTGGAGAAGTACACTGGCCAAGACCACCTGTGCTTGGGAGACATGAGGGCACTGCTTAGACGCATAGAAGGAAGACTAGAGGCAAGAGCAGTAGATTCCAAGGCCCAATGCACTAACTCTCCAGATGACACTTCATTCAACAATATCAGGTCGAGCTATTGGGCTGCTATTCGTAACATCTACCCGACAACACACAGTTTACATGCCCTCACCAGCCTGAGAAAAGAGCAGGGGGAAGACATGCATACCTTCTTGAAGAGATGTGAAGGAGTGTGGGAGGACAGCACGGGAGAACGACATGATCTTTCTCCATCTGTTGAAATGTTGTGGAAGAACGCTGTCATTAAAGCCCTTCCCCCATCAGTGCAGGCATGCCTGGGAGACGTGGTGGGATTAGACCAGGGGTCGGCAACCCCTGGCACATAAGTCGAATAAGTGTGCAAAATATTTAAATTGTATTTTCGGATCCTGAACGAGACCGCCGCCAGAGCGCGTCTCCC